CTCTCTCTCTCTCTCTCTCTCTCTCTCTCTCTCTCTCTCTCTCTCTCCCTCTCTCCCCCTGTCTCCCTCCTCCCCCTCAGGAAAGTTGAAAGTTGTCAAGACAGGGTCCCACTATGTAGTCCTGGCTGTCCTGGGATTCCCTATGTAGACCAATCTGGCCTCAAATTCAGAGACCCTCCTGACTCCGCCTCCCAAGTTCTCTCTCAAATTCTGGGATTAAAGGTGTGCACCATGACGCCCAGGTTTCTTCTGTCACTTGCCTTCCATCTTGCAGCAGGAGCCCTGGGATCCCAGGTGTGCATGGCCCCGCCCGGCTTCCCGTGGATACTAAGGGTTCAAACTCACAGTCTCACACTTGCATAGCAAATGCCTCACCCACAGGCCCTGCCTGGTTTCTTTTCTTTTCTTCTTTTTTTGGTGTTGTGTTGTTGTGTTTGTTTGTTTTGACTCAGGGTCTCTGTACATTGCCCAGGTCAGCCTCAAGCCTTTTGTCCTCTTTGCCCCTCCCAGGAACCTGGGAGCACAGTTGTTCATAACGGCACCTGGCATAATAAGGACTTAAAAGCATGGACAAGAAGAACTCAAGTGACCAGGAAGGAACACAGCATTGTGGTGAAGGGACACTGAGGACAAGGGTGGGTGAGACGGCAGGAAGCTGGGACACCAAGATGAGTTTAGAGAGGTGACAATCAAAGAGGAGGCAAGTGGCACACGTCTTTAATCCCAGCACTCGGGAGGCAGAGGCGGGTGCATCTCTGTGAGTTTGAGGCTAGCCTGGTCTACAGAGTGAGTTACAGGCTACATAGTGAGACCATGTTCTGAGCCTCAGGAGGTCTAAGATTGGCCCCAATATTTCTGCTCTTCCAGTCCCAAAGACAACATCTGGTGTCTAAATTTGTGAATGAATGAATATTCCAGAAACAGAAATGCAAAAGGACCAGCGGCTGTGAGGGCCTAAGGCCAGTCAGAGACATGGTAAACAAACAGAGGATAGCCTCAGGGGATGACCGCACAGACTGTCAGAGATATCACAAACAGAGGAAGGCCTGGGGGGGGGGGGTGACTTCACAGACTGCCAGGAAGCCAAGGATGCCAGACAGACAAAGAAAAATGAAGGGTCTAGAATCTGGGTGCAGGGGTGCATGTGAAACACTCTGGAGGGTGAGGCTGGGGGGTCACGGGTTTGTGGCCAGCTTATGCTACATAGGGAGATTGCAGTTAGTGGGTGGAGGGCAGATGAGAAGGGAGGAGGGAGGGAGGAAGGGAGGGAGGGAAGGAAGAGCAAAAAGAACAAGAAGTGGAAGGAGAAAAGACAGACAGAGCGAGAGGGAGACTTACAGAGGGAGAGAGAGAGAGAGAGAGAGAGAGAGAGAGAGAGAGAGAGAGAGAGAACGTGGAGGGAATGTAAAAAGTGTAATTAGTATGGCAGTTTCTCAAATAACTAAATAAATGGGGTCGACCCAGGATGCAGCTCAGTGGTAGCCTGTGTACTCAGCAGGTGCTTGGCAGTTCCCAGGACAACTAGTAAAAACATGGTAGGTGACATCACCATGTGATCCACCAATTCCACTTCTGAGTGTAGACCCCAAAGAATTGCAAGCAGGGACCTGAGGGAGTATTTGGCCGGCCATATTTATCAGCAGGAGTATATACAGCAGCCAAAGGATGGCAGACAGGGGCTGGGGGAGATGGCTCGGTGATTAAGAGCACTGGCTGCTCTTCCAGAGGACTGTGGCTCAATCCCCAGCACCCACATGGAGGCTCACAAATGCCTGTAACTCCAGACCTAGAGATCCAATGCCATTTTCTGGCCTCCTGGGCACCGGGCACAAAAACGCTATACAAACATCCGCACAGGCAAAACACCTATGTATGGAAAAACTTAAGGTGGAAAAGACTGTAATAGATAAGCAAAGACACAGTATATAATCTACAGAATAGGTACTGCAATATTCTGGATAACCCTTAAAGGAATTATGCTAAGTGAAATAAGCCAGGCACCAAAGGATTGAAATACTGTATGATTTCACTTACCACAGGAACCTAGATAAATTAGAAAGAAAGGGAGCTGTCAGGGGCTGCAAGGGGACTGTTTATGACAAGTACAAAGCCAACATTGCAAGACACAAAGCTTTCTGTGGGTGGTGGTGATGGTACCATGGTGTCCAGCAAACTCAGAATGGCCACAAAAGGGGTAGGAGAGATGGCTCAGTGGTTAACAGCAAAATGGCCACAACGATCCACTTTATGTTAACCAATCATCCCATCAGAGAGCAGAGGGGATGAGAAAGTGATCTTGGAAAGAGGGAAGGAGATGGAGACTCTGTGCTCACCTGCTCCTTGGTGCGCCCCTCACGTTCCCGGATGTGGGTGGTCACAATTCGTTCCATCTCCTCCCCAAGACGCGGGTATTGCTGAAGCTGGAGAAGGGCGGGAGGAGAGAGAGAGCCACGTACACACAGGGCCTGGGGCATTAGGCACCCAAACCCCATCTGAGTGCAGGGACCTCGGAGCACAGGGTGGGTGGTACACATGGGAACACCAACCAAGCCAAGAGAGCCCTGGGGCCCCAGGAAGCTGATGGCACCGAATCTTGACTGCTCCTCCCACCTAAGTGTGCTTTCTAAATGGCAATTCAAGGGTCTTCCCGGTTCCAGGACTATCTTTACTGGCCCACCTGGGCAATTTCAGTAGGTAAGAGGCAATCTCCGTGGGGAGAACTACAGAAAGAGCCAGGCTATGGGAGCTGCCATCTTGTCATGGCCATCCCGAAGACCAATCTGGCAGACAGAGGCCTTTGAGGAGGCAGCCTTCGCTCCCAACGTATTCACTGACTCTTAGGGTTACCTCTTGCTTTCCTAAAGGCTCTGAGTGACAGCCAGGTGAGAAATTAGCAGAGAAGAGCCTCCAGAGACCTATCTGGGAGGAACTGGGGAAGGGGAGGGCCCATGGTGCCAGATGACCTCCTGAGTCAGGCTGGGGACAGGCAATGCTCCTTGCCAGAGCTGGGGAAGAAGGAGTTACAGGGAATGACAGCTGTCACACCAGAGGACATGCAGAAGCTACAGGACACAGGCATGCAAGGACACGAGGACATGCAGAGATGGGCCATCAGCAGCATGAGCAGTACCCTGCAGGGGGCCTGGCTGGCCCTGGGCCCGCTTGGGATAATCCACCCCGTTCTGTCTCCCTTGGTATGCCTCTCTACCACCATCATCTCCAGCTACGCCTGCCCAGGTCCGAAACTTAGCAGACTTAGTAGTTCCTACAGTATTCTGTGTAGCCGAGGATGACCTTGAACTCCTAGGAACTCTGTTCTCAGTTCAGCCTGTTCTTACGACTCTTACGTGCCAGCTCTTCTAGAAAGCCTGTCCAGCTTGAGGACTGAGAGCTGAGTCTCGGGCCTACCTGTGCTACCTCAGTCTCTCTCCTCTGGCTGAGTAGTAATGGTCCCCTAGGGCTGTGGCAGGGCTGGGCACCAGTGGTGCTCAAAGAGGGCATGTCGGAGGGATGAGGAGATGAATGGAAGGTGCATGTCTTTGCCCTCCTTGCCGGGTGAACAGGCAGAGGCTCCTCAATCTTTTGGCTTGGAACCAGCTGTTAGATGGGGCTCCTCTGTGTGTGAAGCCTGCCCACCAGGACCACCCTTTCCCCAGAGTCATTAACCCCCAACTTAGACAGGTTCCTGGTCCTGCTTTTCTTCCTTTCCTGGGTCAAGACTCTCAGGGCATCCTGTGGAAAGATGTCCAGGGATTCTGTGCCTGATTCAAGGGCAATATGAGGGTCACGAGGGACTGTCGGGGTGGGGAGGAGGATGAGGAAGAGAGAAGAGCTCAGGGAAGGGTGACATCCAGCCTTCATGGCTGCAGCTGAGGCAACCTAGCACAAGTGGCTTAGGAGGACCAGCCTGAGCTCCCAGGCTTAGAAAAACGCTGGCTGGTGGGGTCTGCTGCTCTGTGAGGTTTTTTGTATGACGCCTCTGAGCCTGGACAGACATTTGGGGCTGAGTCACAGTTACCCAGGCCTTTGGGGTGATCCAAGGCTCCCTCTCAGGGCAGGGTAGGGGTGGAGCTGGAGGACTGCAGCCAGTTCCCTGCTCTGAGCCTGCATCTACAGTTCTCAAGATTTCCACGTGTCCCGCATGCACAGGGCTGCCGCAGCCCCCTCAGGAAACTCTGCTCCTTCCAGCATCTTTTTCCATCCTGGCTGCCACCTCAGAGTGCCTGCCTCCAGGACTTTTAACCAGTTTTAAAATGGAACTTTTCTCTCTCTCCGACCTTCCAGCCTGCAGCCCACTAGTTTAGAGGTCAGGAATGGAGCTCTAAGCCATGAATTCTGGGTTCACAGCCACCCCTGCTAGGCGGCTTCTCAGAGCACTTCCTGGGTGCTTTCCTTCTTATCCTAAACCTAGGAACAAGCTCTCAGCTATGTCCAGAGAAGTAAAACAAAACAAAATAAAATAAAAATCATCTAATCCCAACAGGGCGAGTAATGACACCCAACTCTTGACAGGAGTGGCTTAGAAAACACAGGTATTCAGCTGGGCAGTAGTGGTGCACACCTTTAATCCCAGCACTTGGGAGGCAGAGACAGGCTGATTTCTGAGTTCGAGGCCAGCCTGGTCTACAGAGTGAGTTCCAGGACAGCCAGGGCTATACAGAGAAACCCTGTCTCCAAAAAAGCAAAACAAAAAAAGAAAACAAACAAACAAAAAAGAAAACACAGGTATTAAAAAACAAACAAATAACTAAACATGAGTGGATTTTGTCATATAAAGAAAACTAACTGCTGAAGTTAAATCATGACCAAAATATGGTTCTTCCTTAAGATCTATGCTCTCTGTGAAGCAAGCTTCTTGCTCACAGGAACTATCTCACCAACCACAAAAGACTTCGGTGTGAAACGGGAACAGCCCTGTTCCTTTCTCTCATTCAAAACAGTGGGTAAATAGGACTTTTGATGTTAGGGCTCAATACTTATCAATTTTCTCCCCTAAGTGCTACAGACATTCTTTTCTGCAATATGTTTTCCATCAGACAGCATATGGCTCCCTTTAAATCACAGAGGGACATGTGGACAGAAGCACACAGGCCTGTCTTGCCTCTTTTCTTTTGAGACAGGATCTCATATTGCCCAGGCTGGCCTCTATGTAGCAGAGGGTGACTTTGAACTCACTATCCTCCTGGGATTGCAGGCGTGGACAACCACACTCGACTCCCCTTTAAATCGCCCCAGTCTTCCACTGTGGCTGCATGACTTTGCCTATTGATTGCCTCTTGATGGGCAGATAGAGCTTTCAGAGTTTTATCATTCATAATGACGGCTTTCTCGAGGAATGCAGCCCAGCAAAGCACTCCGTAGCTTTGGAGTGCTGGTGTCTAGCAATCAGTCTTCTAGCAATTTATCCTAGGAAACCATCCAAGAAGAAAGGAGCGTAATGCATCTTCAAATGCAGAGAAACGCATTAGCAGCGTGTTGCTTTGGGCGTGTGCACATGAACGTGTGCGTACTCCCATGGAGGCCGGACGTCAATGTTCCTTCTCCACCCTGTATCTGAGACGGAATCTCTAATTAACCCTGGAACCAAGATTTGGGGAGGCTGGTGAGCCAGCAGGCTCCAGGGCTCTGCCAGTCTGCCTTGCCAGCTCTGGGACCACATGTGTCACTGCAGCTGGCATTCCATGTGGGCACTGGGAATTGAACTCAGGTCCTCCTGCTTGTGTGGCAACTTTACCAACTGAGCCATCTCCCCAACTCTTGTTTCCTCATGATGTGTTTTAAAATTAAATGTCCAACAACAGGAAAATAGACAAATCCATTTAATGGGCTCTGATGTCACCATTAAAAATTATTATATAGGACTGGAGAGATGGCTCAGCGGTTAAGAGCACTGACTGCTCTTCCAGAGGTCTTGAATTCAATTCCCAAAAACCACATGGTGGCTTACAACCATCTGTAGTAAGATCTGATGCCCTCTCCTGGTATGTCTGAAGACAGCGACAATGTACTCAAATAAATAAAAATAAATAAATCTTTAAAATAATTATTATATAGGACCAGGAGGTGGTGCCACACACCTTTAATCTCAGCGAGGCAGAGGCAGGCAGATCTCTGAGTTCGAGGCCAGCCTCGTCTACAGAGTGAGTTCCAGGACAGACAGGGCTACACAGAGAAACCCTGTCTCAGAAAAAAAAAAAAAACCAAACTGTTTCTAGAAGCTAGGTAATGATTCCACTGAGAGTGTGTGTGGAACAAAAACACAGTATAAAGGATCAGTGTCCACACGGTTAGACACACAAGCCAACTATGCTATAATAGGCAAGTTTTTGAAATGAGTTATTTTATTAACATTGTGTGTGTGTGTGTGTTATGCTGTGTGTATGTGTGTGTGGTGTGTGTATGTGTGTGTGTGTATGGTGTGTGTATGGCATGTGTATGATGTATGTATGGTGTGTGTGTGTGTATGGTATGTGTATGATGCATGTATGGTATGTGTGTGTATGGTATGTGTATGGTGTGTGTATGGTGTGTGTGGATGGTTTGTGTTGTATGGTGTGTGTATGGTATGTGTATGGTATGTGTATGGTGTGTGTGTGTGTATGGTTTGTGTGTGTATGGTGTGTGTGTATCATGTGTGTATGTAATGCTGTGTGTATGTGTATGTGTGGTATGTGTATGTGTGTGTGTGTGTGTGTGGTGTGTGCATGTGTGTGTGTATGATGTGTGTATGGTGTGTGTATGGTGTGTGTGTGTATGATGTGTGTATGGTGTGTGTGAGTGTGTATAATGTGTGTGTGTATATATGGTGTGTGTGTGTATGGTGTGTGTGTGTATATATGATGTGTGTATGGTGTGTGTGAGTGTGTATAATGTGTGTGTATATATGGTGTGTGTGTGTATGGTGTGTGTGTGTGTATATATGATGTGTGTATGGTGTGTGTATGGTGTGCGTGCGGGCACACACACACAGTGACAGCTTTACTCACTGAACCATCTGGCCAGCCCAGAAATATGGATGTTTTCAAGGAGGGTGTAGTGGCTCATGCCTTTACTGCTACCTCTCAGGAGACTGAGACAGAAGGACTGCCACGGAGTCAGGTCAGCCTGGGCTACAAAGTAGATTCTAGGCTAGCCTGGGCAAGAGAGTGAGTCTATGTCTCAAAAACAAGCAAACAAACAAACAAACAAACAAAAAAGAGGAAGAGGGAGGGGGAGGGGAGAGAAGAACAGAGGACTGGAGGAGAAAGAAGAGAACAAGAATGAAATACAAGCACTGGAACACGCTAAATGCCCTTACATAGGCCTGGAACTGCTTCTGCTATGGACTGAGCACAAGAGACAGAGAGTCTGTGAACCAAGACACAGGGACGCCCCAGAGCAGGGCCCGGAGATACCGAGTGATGCTCACTAGAACCTTGAAGTTAAGGCAGACGTGTGTCCCCCACACACACCTCAGCTCAACGGACATCTTCAGATTCAGGGACAGCATGAGGATCCTGGCAAAGTTCCCACTGCCAATGGGTCCCCTTCTGCATGCTGAGAGCAAGTGCTATTTTGGACAGCCTGGCTAAAAGTCCTCAAAATGGCCAAAAGTGGACAGATAGAGAAAAAGACATGGAAAAGATCACCGCCACCCAAAAGAGGCTGCCCATGCCTGACTTTTATACAGAGTGCTGCCACTGAGGAATCCAAAACGCTTTAGGGCAAGTTGGTTTTGAGGTCCTGGGATTGGCTTTCCTGTCTCAAGAGGTCCTGACTGTGAACCCTCCTCCAGCTGAGTCCCACTCTGCTTCTCCTGAGATCTGTCTGGTCACATGGATAATGATGCTACCTGCTGCTCAGAGTTGTTGAGAGAATTAAGTCCCATAGTAAGGGTCAGCACTCGGCCCACTGAAGCACATAGTAGCTGCTCAGTAAACTGTCGCCAACCCCTGTCATCATTGTGGTTGCTACTTTACAGTCATCCTTACCAATGGAAAGGAGAAACGTGGGGTGGGGTATAGCCCTCTGGCAGGGACAAGACTCTGGCAGGATCCTGATCGAAAGTAGTCCCAGGGTTATAAGATGGCAGGAAATCTCAGGCCGGGGACTGCCTGGGTTCCAATGGGGAGCTAAGAGGCCATCACATCTGCCCATGGCAAGCCGTAACCACTGGGATGTGGTGCCAGCCGGGCCCAGCCCCTCCCAGGCGGCCGCCATACCTTTTCACTACACTTTCTGATGGTGGACGTGAGTTCACTGACTACCATGTCCACACACTTGATACTGGGCTCTTTGAGCTTCTGCACCTGCTTTTTCACTGTGGCTTCAAAAGCGAGGTCAGGTGTGAAGAGGCCCGTCCTGCACCCGAGGAGGAGGGAGGGCAGGGGGCAGGAGGGGGAACAGCCGGGTGGACAGAGGGGGCGAGGATGGGAGTGAAAGCCAAGCGGCAGGGCTCAAGGGTGGGTGAGGATGGCCAGGCATGGGGGGAAGAGAGAGACACCAACAAAGAGAGAGAGAAAGAGAGAGAACAGAAGACACCGTGAGCATGGGACCCAGCCCCCCCCCTCTCCCAGGGTTGCACCTGCCAGGTGCTGTCAGGCACCCCCTCCCCCAGGGCTCTGGGGATATGGCCAAAGGTGTAAGGGACCAAACCCTTGTTATGAGAGAGCCCTTTCCAGTTCAGATCCTCTGCCCCAGGGATGCCCCTACAATCCTCCTCCCTTGCTCTTTTCTGGTGCCCCTTGGGTCCTCCTAAGGCCCTGACCCAGACCAGGCCCTGGCCACACATCCTGTGCAAGTCTAGGCTTTCGAGTGTTCCTGAACTGCTTCAGCCAGACTCAAAAGCCCAGCCCTGTCGGCTACCTCTGCTAGGGTGCTTGGCCACCTAGGCTGCGCACTGCCCACTTGCACAGTTTGTGATGCAGACAAAGCCTCCTGGAGCTTCGTGCAGCAGCCGGCCCTCCCAACCTCCGCTCTGACCTCCTTGCCTGCTCCTGTTCCTTCCTTCCTCCTCAAGGGGCATCCCTTGCCTCTCCTCCTAACAGGCCTGTGGGAATTCAGCTCCGAAAGACAGAAAGCAAGAGAAGAGGCGAGGAGACAGAGAGGAGCGGTGATTGAGACGGACCAAGGCAGCAGTGGGATGGAGGGGTGCTGGTGGAACCACTGAGCACTGGACTTAAGAGTCCACAGCCCCAGCTTCCAGCAACAGCTCTGCCACTTCTTAGCAGATACGGCCTGGGTAGTTTACTCAGTGCCCGAGCCTTAGTTTCCCTGCTGTGAGAAATGAGCAACATCCTCCAAGCCCTGCCTCCCTGGACAGTTCTGTGAGGCTGGCTGCCTGGCAGGAGACAGCTCTGTCCCTGGAAAGCTGCATGTGGAAGGGGATGGAGCGCCTGAGTGACAGTCCCCAGAGAGCGGTGGGAAGGTGGCGAGGATGAAGGACAACAGGGAAACGTGGGACCTGCCAGCCCTGGACCCTCTGCACTCCTCTGGCTGCCCAGGTTCCTGCACAGTACTCCAGAAGGTCCTGTCTCTCACATGTCCTCAGGCTGAGGCTTCCCCAAGACTCTCGAAAGGTAGCCCCACATCTGCAGGGGCCCAGGGTTCCCTTAAACACCATTCTTTCTGAGGCAGGGGAGATCTCTTAGTGTCCAATTCTTTGATTCCCCAGACCTGGGGATCAAGGTGTGGGTGAGGCCCCCTCAGAGGGCTCCCCTGTCCAGGTCTTTCCCTACCCGCTGAGGCCTGTGCATGCTACCGAGGAGGCGGGGTATGTGGGGACTGGCTGAGCAGTGCAGGAAGGGCCAGAGGTGGGGCAGAGGGGCTGGCCGAGGGCTGCCTGTTACCTTCTTGGTGCACTGTCTAACCGTGCTGGTTAGCTCCGAGATAACCATGTCCACACACTTGAGACACGGTTCTCGGGTCTTCTTCACCTGCTTTTTCACGATGGTTTCAAATGCCATGTCTGGGGTAAACAGCCCCGTTCTGAACACCCGGAGCAGGAGAAGGGCAGTGTCACAGGCTGCCACTTGCCAGGAGTGCCAGGCCACAGTCCCTCTCCAGTCCTTGGCTATGCCTGGGGGAAGAGTCCTCCCACTACCCTTGCTGAGCGTCGGTGTTCCCATCTAGTCCATGGGTTGGGAGGTTCTCCTGAGAGGTTTTCCTGTCAGTGATCCTCTGCTTGAGCCTCTCCTGTGTACCTTTTGCTCCCTCTTAAGTGTTGCTGTGAAAGGTTCTATATTCCCAAACTCTTTGGAAATTGCAAAACCAAGGCTTCCTTCAGAGCCATATTGAGAACTGAGCTTTGTTTTGTTTTGTTTAGACTAGGAGATGTGGATTTTTGACTAGGCTAACACAGTTATCAAATTGTAAATTTCATGCCAAGACATAGCATGGAGCCTACAGGAGGAGCTCAGGGCTCTCCTGTCCACAGAGGTGTCAGATGGGCACAATGCCAGTCAGAGTCGGGGTCCCTGACGGGGGCGTGTGTCTAAGCAGCAGGCTCTATCTCCCACCCCTCCTTTCTCCACCAAGGGGTGGCTTAGGAGGGGATGGGTAGAATGTGGAGAGCAGAGCTAATAGGAGCCTTTGGGGGGGGGGTCTGACAAGTTGAAAACTCTCCACATAAAGCAATTTAGAACAATATCTGAGTGCGATGCCCCAGGCCCTACCCAGTAACCCTATCCTTTGCTCAGCTACTTGGGTGGCACTGGATAGAATTGCTGCACCCTGGGGAGAGCTGCATCCATCCCCAGAGAGTACTTCCCTGGACACTTGTACCCTGTGCCTCCAGGCCACTCTCCCAAGGACAGCCAAGGAGGCCAGTGGATTGCAGGCTGTGTACAGCCCAGCCCCTAGCCACCTCCCTTAGCTGGAGCCTGTCAAGTGAGGAGACAGAAAGTTGGGGTTGAGGGGACTGAAACCCAGGACTCGTAGGTCCTTCCTGCCGGAGACTCCTTCAGGCCTCGTGCCCCTTAACTAATGGTGCAGACCCCACCCTGGTCCCAGTACATGCCTCGTGCCCCTTAACTAACGGTGCAGACCCCACCCTGGCCCCAGCACATGCCTGATGCCGTGGATGTTCTTGATAGCATAGCTTATCTCCCTTCGCAGTTCCTTCTCATCAAACTCCATCTGTGGAGAGCAGACAGAAGGCTGGTCAGTGTTGGCCCTGCCATTAGGAGGTAGAGACAGGGTCTGCCCTTCTGCCTGGGACTGCAGTGCTCTACCTTAACCAGCTCAAAAGGGAAGCGTTCATGGAAGATCCGGTTTATACGGGCTCCACCTGACAGTTCATAAGTGTCGATCTGGTCTCCAGAACCCTCGATGCGCTTCTCGAAGTCCACTGCAAACTGCTGGACCATTCTGTGTGGGGGAGAAGGGCGTGGCCTGAGGATGCAGAGGAGGGAGCCCCGGGCCCTGGAGGGAGGGTGGGAGGGGCTGGAGTAGTTCAGCCCTGGGGACTGGGGCCAGGAGCCTTACTGCAGCAGGGCCTTGGTCTTGCGTGCGGGGTCATCCGGTCGGAAGTTCTTGTACTCGTCCACTTCCTTCTCAATGGACAGCAGCTGGCTCTGCAGCTTGTTCCGAAGTCCCGGCAGTGTGTCTCGGATGTGGTTGGTCAGTTGCTGGGTGTGGTGGGTAAGGAAAAGGTTAAAACCAAGGTCACAAGCCTAAATGCCAACAGGCCTAGGCATGGGGAGGGAGGGAAGCCAGGTGGCTCTGTGACGCGGTGAGGCACGGAGCTGAGGAGGACCGGGCCAGAAGCTGTAGATCAGTGCTTCTCAACCTTCCTGAGGCGGCGACCCTTTAAAACAGTTCCTCCTACTGTGGTGACCCCCGACCATAAGATTATTTTTGTTGCTACTTCACAACGTAATTTTGCTTCTGTCATGAATAGTAACATACATATATGACATGCAGGATATCCGATATGCAACCCTGTAAAAGGGTCATTCAGTCCCCAAAGGGGTGCAACTCACAGATTGAGAATCCCTGCAGTAGCCAGCAGGCCTGGAGCTCTGCAGGTGCCCCCAGGGGAGTTTTTAAAAGCACCATGCCTTAGCTCGGTTTCTGACAGAAGCCAGGAACCTGGATCCATACTTGAAGCTGCCTTACTTTGAGTAATTGAATGTTTTTAGGCAGGGAAGGCTGAAGGACACCTCACCTTGCACCCTCTGGGCTCCAATTACCTAAAGGTAATTCTCAAGTTCATGTGTTCAAGTCTGCTAGGTCCCCCTATACCCTATCCCCATGAGCCATCGTGGGGACATTACGGGGCAGGGTCTGGTCACTACTGTCCTCTTTTTCAGATAGTAGTGTCACAGAGGGTGAGTAATGAAGTTGGGATTGGAATCCAGATCTATGGTAGTCTTGACTGCCCCTACACAGTCAAGGGGGAACATCCCAGGGAAGCTTCTGGAATGTTTGCGATTTCTGGATCAGCCTCTCTGGATCCTGACAAAAGGACCAGGATGTCCAGCTGAACACATTCCAGTCATCTCTAGTGAGTGCCAGCATTCACATAAATCCTGGCCTTCTACACACGCTGCGCTCCTGGGGCTCCCCTCCACATCCCAGACAGAAGAGGTCAGCAAACGCTTGTCACTACCTCCCTGTGGAACTGGGGTAAGTGGCTTCCTTTCTCTGTATCTGAGTGGTTCTGCACTGGATGCTAATCTATCTCAGTCACCCTTAAGATGTACTGAGAAAACCGAGCTGGAGAGCTCTGCAGTTAAGAGCATCGACTGCTCTTGTAGAGGACCCAGGTTTGATTCCCAGCAACCACATGACACCTCACAACCATCTGTAACTCCAGTCCCAGGAGGAGTTAATACCTCCTCGGGCACCAGACACAGACAACACAGCCATGCATGTAAAATAAAATAAAATAAAATAAAATAAAATAAAATAAAATAAAATAAAATAAAACTTCAAAAAACAAAACACAAACAAACAAAAAAAGATGTACTTAAATTACTCCAGGCCCTGGCCTGGCCTGGCCCCCTACCTGGTTGAGGACCTTCTGCAGGTAGGGCGTGCCCATGCGGTCAGCCAGGTGGCGGTAGGATGGGTGGGAGAGGAAGAACTTGCGCTCGGCAGCCAAGGCGGCCGTGATGTCCTTTTTCCCGTCTATGTCCTTCTGGCTCCGGTTCACCACGCCAATGTAGCCTGTGGAACAGGGTCAGGGTCAAGGGTCAGCCAGCCTTCCAGGAAGGGAGATGCGGGGGTGCAGGGCAGTTCCGGAAGGTGGACGCCCACCTCTGCGCAGAGGAAGCAGCTTGTTCTCCAGCACATCCCGAGCATCTGTGCCCTCGTCCATCAGGTCCAACTTGGTGATGACCCCAATGGTGCGCTGGCCTGGGAAGTGACCACAGGAGGATTGTCACAGTGGCCCCAGCCCCCACTCAGGGGACTTCATGCATTCTCAAGCCTTCCATGCTGCTCCCCTCCTCCCCTGTACACTCGCCCACTTAGCTGCCCCTGCTTCATGATCCGAAGTGGCTACAGTGGTTTTTGTTGTTGTTGTTACCATTTCCTTCAGAGAGGACATGGCTACAGAGCTCAGGCTGGCTTTAAACCTGATTCACATAGGGGGCTGGGGAGATGGCTCAGTGGTTAGAGTACTGGCTGCTCTTCCAGAAGACCCCAGTTCAGTTTCCAGCACCCACATGGCAGCTCACAGTTGTCTGTAACAGTTTCAGGGGATCTGGTGCAATCTTCTGTCCTGTGCAATCAAGTGATGCACAAACATCGTGCCGACAAAACATCCATGCTAAGAAAGTACTTTTTTGTTGTTGTTTTTCAAGACAGGGTTTCTCTGTGTAGCTCTGGCTGTCCTGGAACTCACTCTGTAGACCAGGCTGGCCTGGAACTCAGAAATCCGCCTGCCTCTGCCTCCCAAGTGCTGGGATTAAAGGGTGCGCCATCACCACCTAGCCAAAATGATGTTTTAACTACACCATGCCAGGTAAGAACCCTAGCACTAAGCTGCATCTCCAACCAGGATAAACTGTTTCTTTGGGGTTGGGTCTTTAAGTATCACATTTGTTTATTTACTTATTCATGTATGTGAGTACATCCATTCCCCCACAAACATGTTCAGTCAGAAGACAACTTGCAGCGTGCACGTCTCCCCATCTTCCACATGGATTCCAGGGATCAAAACCAGGTCATCATTGGCAACAGGGACCTTTTCCCACTGAGCCACCTTGAGGGCCCCCTTTTTAGCTTTTAGAGACGGGATCTCATGTAACCCAGGTTGTCCTCAAACTTGTCGCATAGCTAGCTAGTGTTGGCGTGAATCCTGGACTTTCTATATTAGGATGAGGTTTCACTAGACCCAGCTGAAATGAGTCTAAAGATTAAACCCAATCCCACCATTACTTAGCCTCTTTAGTGATACCCCTAGTCTAAAGCTAGACCCCTGCAGTGCCTTGTGCGTCAGCTACCTGTCAAGGACCTACCCTGGGGGTCTACCTCCTTGGCGATCTTGAGGGCATCAGAGTTGGCCAGGTCCGAGTTGGCAGGGGACACAGCCAGGATAAGGCAGTTCTCCTTAGTGACGAACTGCATAAGCATGTCCCGGATCTGGAACTCGATGTCAGGAGGCTGGTCCCCAACTGGGACTTTGGTCATTCCTGGCAGGTCCACTAGAGTCAGGTTCAGCACTGGACAGAGAGGCAAAGAGGGCCAGTCACAGTGTGGGCGTGGTTAGGTGGGCCGAGTTAAAGAATAGGGTCCAGCTTAAAGAGCATCTACCGGTGAGCGTGGCCAGAAGTGGGAGGGATTAGGCAGGTAGGGCTTGAGTTAGGGGACGTAGAGGACCACAATGCTCAACAAGTGTATGAAATGTGTGGGGCCAGAAAAATTGGCCCAGGGGGCGAGGCTAAACAAAGAAGCAGGAAAAAGGAGGCGGGGCCAGGTCGCCTCACCATGGGGTGAGTAGACCCGCAGGTTTATGGGCACTGGCGAAATGCCCTTGTTGGTGCCGGTGACTCGGTCGGTCTCAGCCTCGATCTCCAGGCGCACCTCCTCGAAGTCGGTGAATTTCTTCCCCTTGCAGTGCAGGAACTCAGCATATTCTGCTCCAGAAGCCAGCAGGAGAAGGGAATGAGGCATCAGACCTGGGAAGCCCGCCTGAGTGGCATCCTTCTCCCGTAATCCACCCTTTATCTCCAAACACAGCGAGCCTTAGCTTACAGTTTTATACCCACTATTTAGATTTAGATCAAGGCCCAAGGAGGGGAGGATGGTCTTGCCTAAAGTCACTCTGAAAGCAACTTCAGTAGCTAGGCTGGACTTCACCTTGGGGAGGGACCACGTCTGGCTGCTGATGGAGGACACGAACCTGTGGTAGAATTAACCAGCTGCAGGACCAGAGGACGCCGGGTGACGATGCCAGATCCTCGGGGCAAGAAGTCCCTGCAACGAGTTTGGGGATCAGAAGAGGGTCAGGATCTGAAGGCAGCTGCCTTCCCACCCAGGGAGGACCTGTCTCAAAGACCAGGTCCCACAGCATCTTACTGAGAACATTAAGTCACTAGGGGGAGGGACTCCCCTGAGTCCCATCAGGTTGCCAAGAGGCTAGACAAGCAGCTTCCCAGATAGCCCTCAAATATATATCATGTAGTTCTGAGCCAAGAAAAGGCCCTGCCCCATCCCAGCCACTGTTATTCTGCCCAGGAGAGAATATAGCACAGGATAGCCCAAGAAACTGATGGCCAGTTAGATCTCAGCAAAACCAGAGCAGAACTGCCCTCCTCCCTGTCCCTCTGAGCAGGCAATGGTTCCGTTCCTCTTCCCCAGACCCCATCTGGGCTAGAGTTGAAGAGAGACAGATGCAGCCCGGAGGAGGCAAAGAACAGAACTCAGCCTTCTTTGGTACCAACCGCATGCCAGCTGCCTTGTGGGCAGCAGCTCACGGGCTCCAGAAACTAGCCTGGGAGGAGGGCACAGTTACAGTCCCCACTTTATAGATGGACAAACAGTCTCAGGGATCTTCCAATGGCTTGACATAGCCTGGGCTCAGTTCTGTAAAAGCCCCTGACCTCTGGGTCCCCAGGATGCAGCCCCTCCAGAGGCTTGCCCTGAGACCTGACAGGCCATACCCAACATTTGCTCCTGCTGATGTCAACTTTTGGATGAGCCTCTGTCAGCTATTCTCAATCCCCCACCCACGACATCCACGGGCTGGCTGGAGGGTGGAGGCCTCTCCAGGAATCAGGCTGGCAGAATTAGCAGTCACAGGATCCCTCAGAACCCAGGAAATGGGGAAGCAGACCAGAGCCTGAGGGACCATACTGATCTAGACAGCCATCCCCTGGAAGAGATCCAGGGAGACTCAGACTCAGCCCAGAGCCAATGGGGGCTCACAACACTTCCTGGCTCGGGGGCAAAGGGTCCAAGGAGAACAGACAGGCCCTCAGGTTCAAGGCCCCCGTCTTGGGGCCCTTTCCTGTGCCACCTCTAGAAAAGCAGACTCCCTAGGGGTCCGCGGGCCGCTGACTCGGGGAAGGCGAGAGAAACTTGGCATGCATTAGTCCTTTATGGGTACCAGGCAAACGCATTTCCTTCTGGCCATACTAATGATCTGCAAGAGGACGGGGCTGGTACTTTCCACCTACTACTGAATACTGTGCCAGCCCAGGGCTCAGTATTCATGAGGGAATCAATCATTCTAAGGGAATCCCCAAGTCATCAAATAAGGCTCTCACAGAGATTCTCACTTTATAGATGAAGCAACTGAGGCCCAGAGAGGGGAAGTAACTCACTCAAGGCAACACAGCAGAGCCGTGAGCTTTTTCTTATTAGTTTGGATTTTGTTGTTTCATGTGTTTTTTTGTGCTGGCCTTCAAACCCAGACTCTCCTACATACTAGTCAAGTATTCTGCCATTGAACTGTATACTCCGGCCCCAGGTCTGACATTCAAACCCAAGTGTCTGTTGGACTCCAGAGGCTAGAAATGTCCTCCGTCCCATGGTGCCACCCCCTACATCCAAGGAGCCAGATTTAGCTTTTTATATAATTGAATTGACTCTGGTCTGTGCCAGGCCCTGTGCTGGGCCGTGAGGATGAGTCACCAGCTCCCCACCCAAGGCGCTCAGTGTGCGGTGGAGGCGGAAAGCAAACAGTGTAGCCTGTGGTAGGACAGAGCTGGCCAGGCAGGCCAGGAGGGAGGGAGTCCCAGCCTAGGGGACTTCCTGCCTCATCATCCCGCCTTTCCTCGGTGACTCCTTGTGGGAGGGTCACCCCTCTGTTTGAGGGGTCTCCAGGATTGTGGAGGTAGCACATTTGTTTCTTCAGTGGCTTTGGTGGGTGTATGGGCCTCAGGTTTACCCTCTTCCTCACCAGCTGCTTACCAAGCAAAGCCATGGCAACAGTGGTTGCTGTGGAAACTGCAGGAGGGGCTGGGAAGGATGGGGCTCCCCATAGAGAGCCCTCCTCCAGGCAAAGATGTGGACCTTCTCTGAAGTTACTCCTTGAGAGGCCTCCCTGGGAACAGATGTGCCCACCCAGCCCTGTATGCCTGAGGGTAAAGGGTTCTGGAGAGCCTCGGAGAGTGTACGGATTCCAATCCCTCCCTGAGACGGTTGATGGCAGCTTATGGTCTGGCCCAAGTCACTGCCACCTCAGAGCTGGAGCCCATCAGCAGCACTGGCCAAGACCAAGCTCCCAAAGGCCCAGGGTGATGTCAGGAGCCCAGGCTCTCTATGAGTGGTCCACTCAGCCTGAGTCAGAATCCTTGAGGCTGCTTGTTACAAGTGCTGGTTCCTCAGTGTGCTAGATTCAAGTCTCCAAGGATAGACTGCACTAATCAACAAGATCCTGTATGACTGTCATGTTTTCTTTCACCACAGCCTGCTTGCCTTAGAGGTTAAGAGGCAGTGCCAGGTATAGACTGTGTGTTCAAATCCCACCTCTGCCCTTCCCTTGCCTGGTGCCCTTCAACTCATTCCTTTACTCTGAGTGTGTGTTTAGCTATGGCAGGATGTCACGTGGTGGTTAAAGGGTTTGTGGGGCCTCTCAGCAGAAAGACTGAGCCCATGCCCAGGACATGAAGGCCACACAGGCTACCAAAAAGGGTTCCTCATTTTAAGCCTAGGAAGACCCCAAACTTCAGCAAGAAATCTGAAACCCCACAGAAACCTTTGCCTCACCTCCTCTGGGTACTGAATCCTGACTGAAGAAGCACCATGAAAGGCAAGATGAAAGCAAGGAAAACAGTGTTATAGAGGGCACCCCACTCCCCCATCACTGTCCTGAAGGTAAGACTGAAGCCCAGAGAGGGCAAGGACAGGTGAGGACACACAGCAACTGTGAGTGGCTGAACAAGAACAGGACCCAGGAAGCCTCACAGGTCGACAGACAGGACCAGTAGCCCCTGCCATGTGCAGACAACCTGACACATAGTAGGTCCGGAGACACTAGAAGGAATTGCTTTGTGACTTTTCTGATACCCGGACACTGTGGCTGTCTGTGAAGGGCCAGCATCTTTGACTCGACCCCCGGTCAGAGCCACCATCACACCTCCTGTTTAGGTCTAGGGGACAGCAGAACAGGTGTCTAGGGAAAGTGTGCAGGCTTGTTAGCACCACAGGCTAGTGCTGAGCCCAGCATGGGAGGGCGGCTGGTGGCCTGCCAGCTCTCCCACTCATTTTGAGCAGATGGTCCTTTTGCAGGGAGGCCTTGCCTTGCCATCTGCAGAGACACCTTCAAACCTGAGGCACAGAAGGGACCAAACAGACGCATCTCAGGACCTCCAGCACCACCTACTTCCTCACGAAATCAGCACTGTCATCCCCTACCCACAGAGGCAAGAAGCACCACAGCCATGTGCCGAAGTGACTCCCCTACTCCTCCTCCTACACCCGAGGCTAGGGGGCCAGGGGGTCCTGATCTCCTGACCCTGCTTGGGAACAAATGATGACAAGAAATAAGTTTGTCTATTTGGACAGGGACCATTCTCCTGTCTTCTGTTTCCTGGTGCTATCGGAGCTCCCACTCTGGGGCTGCAGATGAGTGCCTGTTTCTACACCAGCACAGTGGAGGGCTCTGGGGCTTACTGGGGTTAAGGGCTGGACAAGCCACAGCCGTTATAGCACGTGGAGCATCCGCCGGGGAGGGAGGGAGGGAGGAGGTGGGTTTCCAGCCTGGCCAGGAGAGGAAGGGTGGTTTGGAAGAGCAAGAGGTATTTCAAGGACAAATGGAGCTCCTGAAAGTGCCAGGCAGAGCTGGTTGACTTCTGAGGTGGCCTCTGAAGCATTGATCTGGAGTGACAGACTTTGTCAGCCAAGAAACACAGAGGGAGTAGGTGAGGCTGCCTCGGGCAACAAGTCCTTCTCTGTTTGCTGGGCCCCAGGAGACCCAGGAGGCCTGAGGCAGCCCATGTGCTGCAGCTAGTCAGTATCAACCCGACGTTCAACCTTTCAGACAGTCTAGTCTTGGCCTCCCTTCATGTGCTAACGCAGACACTGGGGGGGACCTGCCTCCATATGCCAGCACCCAGGCTGAGGGGGCAGGAGGCAGGCACTCAGACACCCTGCTGAGTGTGTTGAGGTTGGGTGAGGACTTCTCCCAGTGCCCACTTACAGCTCACTGGACGGTAGGGGACACTGAGTCACAAGAAGAAAATTGTTGTACAGGGTCATGGTGCAAGTTGGTGATGGATGAGACCCCCCACCTTCCTATCAGCCTTCCCTTTCTCTTTGTCTTTCCTTCTATGCTTCCCCTTCCCTCCCTCCCTCCCTCCCTCCCTCCCTCCCTCCCTCCTTCCCTCCCTCAATTCTTCCCTTTTTTCCTTCTCTGAGATGATTACACTAGGAAGTTATGTACAACTTTCAAAACAGAAATAGTTTCCCCCACCTAATTAAAAAATTAAGGCCGGGCGGTGGTGGCGCACGCCTTTAATCCCAGCACTTGGGAGGCAGAGGCAGGCGGATTTCTGAGTTCGAGGCCAGCCTGGTCTACAGAGTGAGTTCCAGGACAGCCAGGGCTATACAGAGAAACCCTGTCTCGAAAATCCAAAAAAAAAAAAAAATTTGAAAAAAATTAAGATTTTTAGCCTGGTAGTGGTGGCACACACCTTTAATCCCAGCACTTGAGAAGGCAGAAGCAGGTAGATCACTGGGTATTTAAGGCCAGCCTGGACTACCAAGTGAGTTCCAAGACAGCAAGAAAATTTCTGTCTCAAAAAAAAAAAAATCAAGAGATACATAAACTGTTTTATAAAGTAAACCCCAAGTGTTGTCCTAGCCCGGAGACAGCCATTGTATACTTCACTAGCGTTAGTGGCTGCTGACTGTTGGCCAGGCTCTGCTGGAGCCCTGAAATCTGCAGCATTCTGAGATTTCTCTTCAGGGTGATGGAAATGTCTAAAATTAGTTTTTGATGATGGGTGCAGAACTCTGTAAAGGCGTTGGGC